CTGCTCGGAATCTCGTTGGCCTCAGTCGTTCGCACGGGGACGCGTCACCACTGTCCACCTATCTCTACCGGATAGAGAAGCCGAGAAATGCTGGGGGCGTGATCGATGGATCGTCGAGATTCTCAAAAAATTGGCCTTCCTCTTCCCCAGAGGTGACCGGACCGATCGAAATGGACGAGCCACGATCCTTCGTTCCGACGCAATAGCGTCGAATTAGGGAGCCCGCCATCCACCTCGTCCGACTTTCAGGTAAGTCAGCCAAGTTTAACTGGAGGCAAGCGAGAAATTGTTTAATGGGATCTCCAAGATTTCAAAAACTCGAATCGCGTTCCCCAATTTTTTGAATTGGGCAGAGTTGAATATTTACAAGCTGAGTTTTCGATAAAATTGAAAATTTTAGGGAGATTCTCGAAATTCTTATGTACGACTGAGATATATATATGCATAATATTCGAGAATCCAACTCAATCCAATATTTTTTTCTCCAATATTTTCCAAGTTTTTCTCCCGCACAATTCTCTAATATTTATCATGCACAACTTTGGAACAAGTTGTCGGAGAAATTCGAGAATGTCTCTTCCTTCTCCCTCCCCTCCCTCCATTCGTTTGAAACGAAAGAATTAGACTGTGACGCGTACAAAACGGCCGCGTTTCTCAATTTCCACGACGGTGGTGGCATCGGTCGAGCGGATCGGGGTGTGAATAACGATCGAGGCAAGGGGAGAGATAGAGAGAGAGAAAGAGAGAGAGAGAGCACGCGGCATGCGCGCAAGATTTATCCCGTACCTGGACCGATTTTCTGACCTACGAACACGGCGTTACGTTACCAAATCTTATAAATAACCTTCGTTGAAAAATAACCGGTTATTTCCCTCGGCCAACGATCCACCGCGAGATCGTGTCTCGAGCTCGATGTTTAAACAAGGATCTACGATCGCGTCGTGATCCATATACGTGTCTATGCGTCGTTCATACGATTTCTTTCTTTCTTTCTTTCTTCTTTTTCTTTTTTCTAACGAACATTTCTTCTCCCTCTCCTTGGCCATTTGGTATGATTTTTGTATTCCATAGGCGAGTCAATGGATGTGAGAGGCGAGGGGATGTGGGAGGAGCAGCGCGTCGAAGGATTCATCGATCGGCCTTCCTCGATCTCCGGCATTAAACAGACAACCGTATCTACCTCGTTATCGGCCACACCTTCTTTCTCTCGTCCCTTGACGACGCGACACTTCGCGAAAACAATCCGGATCTCTAGTTAAGGTTCGGTTGCATGGATCATAGATACGGCCGGCTTGTAATTCGTGACAGGATATATGATTTATCGCGATCTATCCGATCGTTGAGGAATGACGAGAGGGAGAGAGAGAGAGATTGGGAAAGGATTTTGAAATTTTTTTCTAATTTTATTTATAATAACGTTATTAATTAAAAATTATATATTATATCGTGTAAGTGAAATTTTCTATTCATTCAGTGTTTAAGTAATAATGTATATTTTATCGTATAGAGAGGATAGTTGTATGTATTAAATTTTTTATAATAAATGATTCTTTGATCACCAAAGGGGAGAAGATTTTTTATATTGTTAGACACAAAAACTTTCCTGATCGATCTAATATAAAAATAAAAAGAGGGAGAAAGTCTATTCTTAGATTTATCATGGCACTTATGCCCGTTTTCATGTTCGGTGTTCGATTGCTCTCCTCCATAAAATCCCCATCGTTACGTGCCTTATTGTTTCAGATTCAATTCTCGTCGAAAACCTTCTTAGATCTGGCCAGAATTATTTATGAGACGACGTGAATGCTTCATTACGGGTTTTTTGATTCTAATATAAAAAAAATGTAGAAAAAAATTGGGGATATTGTGGGCCGTTGTTTCGCCTTTATTAAAATTGTTCGAAGATGAATATACGTAATTCCAGAAATAAATAAATACCGAGTTTATTATAACAAATTATGAATCTTTAAAGCGATATATTTATTATTCGATGTTTTGATCGAGCGGAAAGAAAGAAAACGAAGTTGGAAATTTTGCTTTGCCTCCCCCTCCCAAGAATTCGACGGCGAGAAATGCAAGCCACGACGTTTTAAAACAGATTACGTTCAAGCGCGTAATAATTTATTGAAGTCGTAAAATGAACATCGTCTTCGGCCATATTTCTCCCATTCGTAATTCAACGTTTTACGATTTTAACATGAAGTATGGGGGCAATGAATAACTACGTTGCTCGTATCCAAGTTAAAATTAGGGCACATCGCTTACCCCTTCTTTAATTCCATCGGTGGCTGGCATCGTGCGAGAGGTGAAATTGCGATAAATAATCCATTTATCCTGCGTAATTTAAACACACACACACATTCTGATGCGATGAAATGATCTCGAAAAAAACAAAAAAAAAAATTATTCTCTTTGTGAGCATCATTTACATCTCGAAGGGAGAAATTCATCGCGTACAATAGTTAAACGAGAACCGCGAGGAAATAAAATATTTAATATCAATTCTGCCGCACTTTCATTCGTATTTACCATGGTTAAAAATTAAAAGGGGGGAAAAAGAAACCGAGTGGAAGGGGTGAAAAA